TTGACCCAAATTGGGAGGGACCTTATAGAATCATCTCGGTCCTGAGCAATGGGGCATATCGGCTTGAAGACAGTGAAGGCAAAGAGTTACCAAGACTGTGGAATATTTACAACCTGAAGTTTTTCTATCATTAGATTTTTTGTTTTTTAAAGTTTTTTGTTATTATCCGAAATAAATAATAATAAAATTTAAGCTTGATTCTTAATTCCAAACTTGTGTAATATGATTGATCAGTCCCTTGGCGATGTTTCTTTTTGAAACATGACAAATAACTTAGACTCATTATATGGCAGAGTTGAATTATACTTGCATATAATAGAGTTGAACTAAATTGGCGATATTTCTGATTGAAACATGACGAATAACTTAGACTTATTATATGGCAAAGTTGAATTATACTTGCATATAATAGAGTTGAACTAAGTTGGCGATGTTTCTGATTGAAACATGACGAATAACTTAGACTTATTATATGGCAGAGTTGAGTTATATTTGTATATAACATAGTTGAACTAAGTTGGCAATGTTTCTGATTGAAACATGACGAATAACTTAGACTCATTATATGGCAGAGTTAAATTATACTTGCATATAATAGAGTTGAACTAAGTTGGCGATGTTTCTGATTGAAACATGACAAATAATTTAGACTCATTATATGGCAGAGGTGAAATTATGCTTGCATATAATGGAGTTAAACTAAGTTTTAATTCACCTGGATTTGCCATATCGGCAGAGTCAACTTCGGCAACAAGGTCATAGCCTCGGCTAGTCACTGTTTGAACATAACTTAGGCAACAAGGTCATAGCCACATGTTTAATGAGAACCTAAATGAAACTTAAATTCACATTAGGGGGCAGAGAGCTAGAGAATGATGCTTGGGACAACACTTGTTGAAAATTTCAGGAACATTTACAAGTTGTAGTCAAGTCGAGGTGATATTGAAAGAAGTATCTACTTACTTGCCAGGATTACTAGGTTGCCAAGCTTGAAAAGCATTGGAGACTGAGGTCTTGATAGAAGACAGTAAAAAAAGTGGCAAGTTTTAGATAAACACTCGTGAAAATATTTTTACAATATTTTTTAAGTGTTAAGACAAGGCTGAGATAAACAAGTTGGGAGTTATGTCCGAGGTATTTTTACTCGAGGAGATTGCACAGATAAAGTGCACTTTTGAAAATGTGCAAAAATATTCTAAGTATGGAATGACACATAGAGGAAAAGAAGGCATACATTCAAACACTTAGAAGAAAATGTAAAGACTTGCATTCAGATAAGGAAGTTGTTTAGATACAAAAAGGCACTTTGGCCTGACATAGGAGATTACTTGTTCAATTACAAAGAGTAAAGAGGAACATCGGTCAAATAAAAGCTATACATCGTTCAAAAAGCAAAAATTACAATGCATAGAAAATAAAAGCTTATAGTAAGACTACTTGGTGTCAGTGGCAGGCTGTGTCTCGGCTCCAGAAGACAATTGGAAAATCTTTTTGGCAGCCTTCTCAGCCTTGAGCTCGACATTGATCTCTTGTAGAGTCTGATCGATGCTCTTCTCGGCAATTAGCAACTCGGATGTTGTTTTGTTGGGAGAGGCACCTTTTGAAACCTCGTCCTCCTCATCCTGAGTCAAGTTTAGGACTTGCTCATTCAGAGTTGGGGACTTGGCCCCGGCAGGAATTTCAGTATCAGTCATCTCAGCCTCTTTGTCTTTGGCTTCCTCTCCTTCTTCTTCTTCTTCCCCCCCAGCCTTAGCCTCAGATTGGCTTAAAGTGTATGGGAATGGAAACACAAGTCGGCCTTCATCTTTGAGGGGAGAGTCCTTAGGGACAGCCAACTCTTTCAGAGCAGCCATCCAACCAAGGGTGTAACCTTTGTTGCATGCCTATCTTACTTGTTTTTTGTAGTCTTCGTGGACATCGGCTGCCCCCTCGACATAGGCCTTCTCGTCCGCTGCTTTGATCTCGGCGGTTTTTGTGGCCAAGGCATCTCGGAGCTCGACTTGGACTTCGGTTGTTTTTGCTTCGGCCTCTTTTTTCTCGGCCTTAAGGACCTCAGCGGCAGCGTCTGCAACCCCAGTCCTTTCTTCAGCCTCGCCTTGAGCTTGCTTGGCTGCCTTGGCCTAATCTATCAAGGCTTTCATCTTGGCCTCAGCTTTGTTCAGGGACTTAAGCAAACCAGCAGCCTTCTTGGTCTTGTGGACCAGCTCCTTCTTCATTTCCTCTACTTGCATCGCAAAAGAGTGGGTATACTGGATCGCCTAAAAGAAATACAAAGAACAAAGTTAGTAAATTCAGTAAGTATGAAAACAGAGAATGGAGAGAACTAAGTGTTAGGAGTTTACCAGTATAGAATGCTGCACCATCAGAGCGAAATTTTCATATTCGCTAACCTCGGCCATACGATCGAGGTCATTTGGAAGGAGCAGTGCAGTTGAGAGGGCAACGCTGCCCTCAATGTCAGCAGCACCATCACCAGTCCTAACTGGCTTATCCTCGATCGTAATAGATGGGGCCTAAGGCCCCGTTTGTTTTGGGTTATAGCAAGGGGATTAGGATTACTAGTACCTTGGGATTAGTATATGGGGTGTTTGTTTTGAGAGATAGCCTAGGGACTATTAATACCTTGGGACTAACTAATACCTTGGTATTACTAATACCTTGTTTGTTTTGAGAGATAGGGAGGGTACTACTAATACCTTGGTATTACTAATACCCTTGGAGAGGGGATTCATAGTGAGGAGGTAGAGATGGTATTAGAAAAATAGTGAGGGGATTAGAAATTTTTTTATTTTTTTTATTTTTTATATATTGGAAATTTTTTTTAAAATATAATTTTAAATTTTTTATATTTTTTTATTTGTTTTATTATTTTATATAAAAATAATTTAACAATTCCTCACTACCAATCCCCTCACTATGAATCCCCTCACTACTAATCCCCTCACTATCAATCCCCTCACTAACAATCCCCTCATTATTAATCCCCTCACTATCAATCCCCTTCATTCTATCTCTGAAAACAAACGACCCTCACTAACAATCCCCTCACTATTAATCCCCTCACTATCAATCCCCTCCATTTCATCTCTGGAAATAAACGGGGCCTAAGGGTCATCAGCTTTAATTGAGCCCGAGGTGATTGCAGAGTCCGACCTCAGCTTTTTTGACCTGGTAGATTTAGAGAGGTTGTCCTCAGCAGGCCTCTTCTTGGCAGCGGAGGAACTTTTTTCTATCTTGGTCATTTTTGAAATCAGCAAGGTATCCTCAGAATCAATTTGAGCCACCGTTGCCTTTGCCTGGGCCTTCTTCAGTCTTTTTTGGATTCGGTTTGGACTGGGACTGTGAGGGTGAAGATTAGAGTGTGACAGCATTGGGAATGTTGGCTAGAAGGTCTTCAGCAATGGCCTTTTTTCACCCTATCTTGTCGGCGGCAACGGCAACAGTGACTTTAGTTCCAAAGTGGATCGCTGGAAGTGTAGTCGGTGGGTTGGCTAGATCGTAAGCCGACGCCTCAGTACTTCGGCATTTTCGACTACAAGTTCTGCCTATAGGGGCAAGCAGTGGAGCTCAAGGTTGGCGTTGACGCTAAGAAGGTGGAATCAGTTGTGGAGCAGAAGTTGATGGTTGTTCTGCTGGGTCAAATGTTGAGGCTTGGTCAGGCATTGGTGATGAGGTAGTTGGGAGAGTTGTTGCTGAGGGTGAAGACTTGCTCTTCTTGGGGACGTCAGGCAATGTGGATTTATAGGTCGGGATGTAGTTTAGGAGCAGAGGAGCCTTGCGCTGATTAATAGGCAAGTCCAGCAGCCTCTTGAAATCTTTGCTGGGGAAGAATGTCTTGCGAAAGTCTTTTGGTGGCTGAGGAAGAACAGCAAATGCTTCGCCGGAGGAGGTGAACAGAGTGGTTACAGGAAGCTCGAAGAAGGCAACAATGAAGGTAGGGGATTTTTAGAGAAAGAAAAACTTGAAAGCTTGGAAAAAAATGAGGATGCAAAGGTGAAAAGACAAAGAAAGAGAGGTGTTTTTTATCAAAACACGAAAAGACTGCAAAATCACAATTAGTGTGCCTAGGACAACGTGTCTGTCAGGCGGCGTGTGCAAAAGCGACACGACCTAATGGCGCGTATCAGGTAAGGTTCAATAGGGAAGAGACGCGTGGCAAAAATGGTTGAGTTTCTGTGCGTGACATCTCATACGCATGTAGAAACTCTTGGAGTTCTTGATTTAATAAAGCAAAGACCTTGGCTAGGGGAATGATCTTGATTAAGGAACTTGAAAAACTTGGCTCTTGGTTCTAAGGCATTGACAAAACACACTGAAGTCTTGGTCATAACGAACCGATGTGAGAAAATCTCGGTAATGAGGGATAGAGTAAGCTTTAGCCGACATGCTCTGTGAACGACTGATATAGGTTCCATCACCTCAAGATGCCAAGGTAATAGAACCTAAGGGGCAGTTGTGGGGACATATTTTTTGGATAACAACACGTGGCCAAGGTGGCACTGAAGTGCCAGCCGAGGTGTCACGTGTCCTGGTCATGACATTGAGATCATCTTGGCTAGGTCGAGGTTATCTGCGGAGATACCGGAATCCGGGATAAACAGATAAGCTATAAGAGTCCTAGAATGGAGGAGGACCTCAGTCTGGATAAGGATAAAACTCTTACGGAGTTTATCTTTATCTATTGGAGAGTCTAGGATGAACATTGGGCCAGAGTCCAAGGGAAGCTAGGCTTCTATAGGGATCAGGTTAGTACTGACTATAAAAGTAGGGCACCCTTATGGGTCTAAGGTACATTTTTTGTTTCAGGGCTAGTGAGTTAAAGCACTATTTGCTATCTTTGAGAGAGAATTGAGTATTGACTTAATCGTCGGAGTGCCCCCGGGTGGAAGAACTACTACCGGAGTCTCATCTTTCTGTGACAGGTCGTTCGGGTGCAATCTATTCTGCCGGTGTTCTCCAGCTAAGTACCTATTTGGCAGTGTGGTCAGAAAACAGCACACATAGTTACCATGTCAATACCCTTTTCTTTTGTAAACTTCCATGCGGCATCCTCCGCTAAAATCTTTGACAGCACATACCAAAGCTGGTAGCAAAAAAAAAGGGGATGGGAAAACACAGAAGCATTCAACAGAATAGAAAGAACAGCCATTACAATTGCAAATTATGAACAATCATACAAAGCATATCGATTGAAACAAAAATTATGGCCCTTCCTGCAGAATGGTTCATTGAAAATCCTACCTTTGAAAATTTACACAAAGAAATAGATTGTTGAAACCAACAAACAATGTGTTATAGGGACAAATGATGTATTACAATGATGGACATAGGATTTTTTTTCAATTTTTTTATTTTTCCTTCGATTTTGTTGGCCTAGATCACTTGTTCAAACAAGATCTAAAAGAACATAGAAAACCAAAATTCTTGAGGTGTCTATTTTCAAGTGAGAGCATCAATGAAAACGAAACAAGGACATTATGAGCTTCAAAACTCAGATTTTCAAGTACCCTAAACTTTGAACATTTCTATAATGCACTAAACACATTTAAATGGCATGCAAATCTAGGACATCAACCGTGAGAATTCTGTACTTGTTCATACACATTAATTCATACACATAGTTGTATAATACATACATTAATATGATTGCATGTAGAGGTAACTGTATATTTGATGTTTATAAGCATATGAGTGGCTAACAATTAGAAGTAGTGAATTTGACAATACAACCATCCAATGGCTAGAAGCTGTTTTGTGATTACAATGTCTTCACTACCAACAACTTTATAAGGAACAAAACTGATATAGGACATCATGTCCTTGGCATGTGATAATTTGTGGTGAGTAGTTGTTAGCCTATATCTAGGGAAGTGATGACCATTTTATAATAACTTTTAAATATTGAACATTGATTGATTGAGAAATTCTCTCTCTAGAACTTAGGGTTCTTCTCTCTCTTATTTCTCGCTCTGTTCTTGATTGGACCCATCATTTACAATCGATTAAAGCACTGAAGCTATGACATAGGATCGGGAGAGGAGTGGGGATAGATTTGAAGAAAATAAAGGCCAAATCTGGTGGACACAAACGCCATGTTTATTTGGCTCTATGAGTGAGGAGGATTGGACTAATAGTGAGGGAAAGCTAACCACAGAGAGTGTTTGGTTGTGGAGGGATTAACACTCCAAGGGGGTGTTTGTTTTGGAAGGATTGGACATATTTTATTGATGTTTTATTTTAAAATTTTGTTTATATTTTATTTAATTTTATTATTTAAATTTTAATAGATGTTTTATTTTATTTCATTATTTAATTATTATTATTATTATTTAAAATAAATTTATTTAAAATTTTAATGAAAAAATAACACATATATTTTTATTGATATTTAATTTATTTAATTTTTTTAAAATAAATTTATTTAATTGTGCAAAAAATAAAATAAAATAAAATTTTATTTAATCTAGCTAAAAATAATTAAAATATTAAAGTTATGTTTAATATTGCTATTACTTAAGTGAAAATGATAAAATAGTCATTTGAGCATTTATTTTTCTCCATAATATCCCAAACAAACATTGGATTAACTAAAAATAGTCCAATCCAGATATCTAATCTCATGACTAAACAAACATAAAATACAAATCCAATCCAACCAAATAGTTTGGGGATAATGTATCCCAAGACTAATAGTTCGATGGATTACAATCCGTCCTTATCCAGTCCGTCCAAACAAACACATTCCAAGAGGACTGGCAATCCCCCTCCTTGGTTGGACTCGCATGGAAAGAAAACATATGAGATGGGATTAATGGATTAAAATATTAAATAAAATGGATTAAAATATTTTTAATATTATTTTTTTAAAATAACTTATGTGTGAAAGAAATATTTAAATTTTTTAATAAATACTAAAAAATGTGATTTTTTTTTATAATTAATGAATTTTTAAATAATTTTTATGCAAAATTTATATTTTTTTAAGTGTCTCTGAATTAACTCGACTTAAAAAGGACAAAAATATTAACAATTATAATATTAAAAAAATACTAAAAATTAAAAAATATTAATTTTAAATATTACTACTATCTATAGTATTACTACTCTGGTAGTATATAAATAAACCCTCTTTATTCTACATCTCCAACCTAATATCACCTCACTAATAATCTCCTCACTCAATCCCACCGTATTCTTAATCCCTCCAAACCAACTAAAAATTAGGTTATTTAAATTTTTGATTTTTATACAATCAATTGAAAAAAATTGAAAAAAATTATTCATGTAAAAAATTAAATTTATTTAAGCTCTATTTGGCATATGGGTTGAGATTAGCCAACAAAAATTTAAAAGAGATTAAAAACCAAGTTTGGGAACTTGTAAAAAAGTCAAAAAGTCAAAAAATTATTCAAAAAGTTAAAAAGTTAACACTATTCACCAAAAGTCAACAATTACGGCTGCACAACTCCCAATTCGAAATTTTTCCCTAACAAATACAATTATTTACAATTTTTTATTACACATTTTTTCATAAAAAATCAAAAAGTTAACTCAAACATCCATATTTTCAACCTCAATTTTTTAGTCCAAAAAGACAAAAAGTGCACTTATTTAGGACACCCAAACAACCCCTTAGCCAATAAGCAAACCGCATAAAATTACCCAATAAAAACATCCCCAAAACAGCAAAAAAAAAAATATATATATATATATATATATCCTAGCACTAATCAAAGGGAAGTGAATCGCATAGCAAAATCAGGTATTGGGTATTCAAAGAAATCAAGATAGCCAAAAGGATTAGATATCAAAGTGAGAGAGAGAGAGAGAGAGAAAACAGAGGCTTTAACAGTATAACCACGTTGGAGCAACAACTTGACAGGCCACGACGCTATGTACCCGGACGCTCCCGTCACACACCGTCTTCCCTACTCCGCTCATTCTATCTCTCCTCTCTCTCCCTCTCTCTCTCTATTCTCCGTCAGCTTTTATTTAATATAGGAAAAGTCTACAATGTGCACCTTATAAAAAGGCATATAATATGCACTTATTGTGTGGTCCATATCGTGCCACATCATAAAAAGTGACCTGCTAAACTGGTCATGTAACAGGTTACAGAAAGAATCATAACTTTTTTTCAAATATCATAACAATACTACAACATCTTAACAACTCCCTTTAATATATTATGGGTCGTAATTGAAATAAGATTATAATTAAAGGAAGAATGACATAAATTAGGGTATATATAATGAGTGTTTATAGTAATATCTCCTTTTTAATATACATTTCCTTAAAAAGATGTATTATATGCACCTTCACTTATGTTATTTTCTTCTTTATTTATGATTAATTTTTTTTTAGTTATAATATTATTTTAGTTATGATTTATGCGTTCTTTAATTATGTATCATTTTGTATTTAGTTACGATATTATTTTTAGTTATGACTTAAAAAATTAAAATTAAATTTTTTATTTTTTTATAATTATAAGATGCATATAGTATATACTACAAAAAAATTGACTTTTTGCGACGGTAAAATACCGTCGCTAATACTCTTAATGCCGTCGCTAATACTTTTTGCGACGGCAAAATGACTTTTTGCGACGGCAAGAGGGGGGTCGCAACTGCAGGGGTTGCAAAAGAGTTTTTGCGACGGTAAGTGCTGTCGCTAATGTTTTGCGACGGCATTTGTTGCCTTTTTGCGACGGCACCGTGCAGTCGCTAATAACGTTCGAAATTTCTTAACTTTTTTGCGACGGTCCTATTTTACCGTCGCTAAAAATGTTATTTGAGACTGCAAAAAATACCGTCGCCAATAATCTCTTTTTTAAAAAAAACACTTTTTGCGACGGTGGGGTGCCGTCGCAGAAAGTATAAAAAATATAAAATTTTCTATTTTTTGCGACAGTGTAATGCCGTCGCAAAAAATATTAAAAAATAATAAAATTTCTATTTTAAATAATAAAATTTCTATTTTTTGCGACAGTAAAATGTCGTCGCAAAAAGTAAAACTTGTAACAAAATTAATAAAACTAATAAAATTTTCTATTTTTTTCGACGGTGGTGCCGTCTCTCTCTCTAAGAGCTGATTATTTACATTCCATTCACAAAAACATCATAACAGAAAACAAAAATAAAAATTGATCAAACCATCAAATTCAATATTTTACAAAGAACAATTAAACTGTACATGTTCATAAAAGCATATTTAAATTATAAAATTCACCCAAATCCTAAAAAAAAATAAAATAATAAAATAAAATCTAAAATTCACCAATCAGCACATTGGATATTTAGGAACAAAGCTCTCCAATGCTTGTAAATTAGGAACAAAGCTCAGGTCCCATCATGAGCGAAGTGGAAAGCTTACTGGTTTAAAAAAATGAAGAACAAACTGAAGGTGGAGCTAATTTTGGTGGTGGTGTTGTCGATTATGGATTGGAAAGAGTCTAGCTGGTATACCATTGAAAGTCTCCTTGGTGATCTCAATATGAACTTTGAAATCCCCAACTAGCTCTGTGAGATCAGGCTCCTCATGCAGAGCAAAAACCATTATCCCTTTCTTTGCTGCACCAAAACAAAATCTCCAAGCTGATTAAATATGTGTAGGTGAAACTGAACTTAATAGTCATAATTTGAAATAATAATTAAAGAAAAATATAATATACAGACAAACCAAAACTATATGTTTAACCAAACACAATATCTTAGCTCCAACTGAGATAGGGAAAGCAATGGCAGAATAAGAAAGAAAATCTTCAGGAAATTTGTTAGAAGGCAATAATAATTGATGAAAACTGGAAGAAAAATAATAGTATCGGAATAAGAAAGAAAATTTTCACGGGTCAAAGCTCTTATTGCCAACTGGGAAGAAAAGAATTGTCGGGAATCCATCAGACTGCAAAAGCAAATTCAAACATGACTCATTTCCTGTCTCTCCCTAGACGTAATTGACATAAAAAGATCTACCCATGTAGGATTTCCATGTTATTACAGATATAAATTGCTCTTACAGTGCATCAATATCCTTAAAATGCTAGTCAGAACATAACAACGGTGCATTTAAAAGTGACAATGGCCAGCACGTGTCATTTGCTTGAGACATCACTTGAGAAGGGATACAAGGAAAGGAAAAGAAAACAAAAATTAAGGTGAAAATTAAAGGCTAGTTTACAGACCAAGAAATCACAGAGGAAATTCCATTGCTATCACTAATTCCACAATTAAAGCCAATCGTAAAGCCTTATCTCAAATCAAATATTCTCAAGCCCTGCAAATCAAGGTTTATTATTGGCGCCTCTTATCTTCTAACGTTAGGGAAAACTGTTATGGAATCAAGCTATCCTATTTTTCCTCTTTTAAGGTACAGAAAATGAGCAGCTAGAGAATGAACTAGAAAGAGGAGAACAAAAAAATTATAATGGAAGGAGGTGTTTCTACTTATAATGTTATTATGAAAAAAATATATCGCACCTTCGCCCTCGGGTGCTCATTTGTGGTCCCATCCATCTTGGCAATAACAAGTGAATTGATGCCCTTCAAATGCTTGGCAAGCTTGTTGTATATTGGCTCTAGTGCTTGGCAATGCCCACACCAAGGAGCATATAACTGTTCAAGGACCAGACATCAAAATGATTCCATAAACATCAATATATGTAGGATGACTATTTGATCTCAATATAGATGAATTGGTGATCTGAATATGAACTTTGAAATCCCCAACTAGCAGTCTCCTTGGTGATCTGAATATGAACTTTGAAATCCCCAACTAGCAGTCTCCTTGGTGATCTGAATATGAACTTTGAAATCCCCAACTAGCAGTCTCCTTGGTGATCTGAATATGAACTTTGAAATCCCCAACTAGCAGTCTCCTTGGTGATCTGAATATGAACTTTGAAATCCCCAACTAGCTCTGTGAGATCAGGCTCCTCATGCAGAGCAAAAACCATTATCCCTTTCTTTGCTGCACCAAAACAAAATCTCCAAGCTGAGTAAATATGTATAGGTGAAACTGAACTTAATAGTCATAATTTGAAATAATAATTAAAGCTCTATAATTCTGGTTATATATCTATCACCTGTGCAGTTTTATCTAAAAAAACCTACCAGACCATCATGGTAATGTGCTAAAATATTATAATGTTGATAAAAACGCATAGAGTCTAAACCAACACCTTTTTATCGCGTCTCTCAAGTATATCAAAAGGGCAAAAGCAAAAAAGGTTAATCTTGACTTACCACCCGCAGGAATGATATCCAAAACCCTGGTGGAGATGGCGGAGCACCAAATGGATTATTCGGATCTTGATTGCCATTAGGAACCCCCATGCCCATCCCATAACCACCCATTGGGCCTCCAAAACCACCATTGTACATACCCCCTCCGTACATGCCAGAACCTCCATAAAGCCCACCACCATAACCTCCTCGATACATGTTGTTTCCATACAACCCCCCTCCATAAGACCCTCCCAATCCACCATATGATGAGCCATACATTCCAGAACCATAACCAGAATTATAATTCAAACCGGAACCATAACCTGCATTTGGCATAGTCAAGCAGTAGGCTCCATTAGATGCCATGAAAAAGTAAATGATTTCTACCAATGCATGTAGTGTTGTCATCTTTGTTTTCTACCTAAATTTTAGTCAAACAGCCCCAAAAGACTTTAAAACACCTACTTTTTATTTTTATTAATTTAATCACTAAAACTTTCACAAAGCAATGCCCATCAATATACTGCATGATACCATATATACCATTTTTGCATGATCTATGATAAAAACCTTGAGGCCTGTTCATACTGTTTATTTTATACTATGATACAGATAATAGCCACCAAAAGAATAGGGCGGATACGCGTAGAGTGTCAAGACCCAAGAGGTGTGTCTGACAACAATTTGTAAGACAATGTGCAACATGCATTACATAACCAGAATTATAGAGCTTGACGTGGTAATTTGATCTAAACAGGCAAACTCCCACAAGACAAGCTGTAATCTATACATCACAAATTTGTAATAAACCTAATGTAAGATTATAGAAAATAAATACCTCCAATAGTACTGCCGTATGTCTGTTGTTCCCAGGGCATAGTGGGTACAGGCCTACCAAGTATTTGTGTCAGTCCTTTCTGTCCAACACAAAGCCAGAAGAATAACATAAAAAACAAGAAGATCATATGTGAACCTTAATGCTGCTTAAGGTCAAGTCACTGTCCAATACAAACTTCCCGGCATCATCGTTTCCCGTGTATGCAATAACCTGCATATAAATGGACAGCATCCAAAATTTTTGTTTACTCAGTTTTAGGTAAGTACAATTAACAGGGATGTACAATATATGGAAAAAGGAAAGATAGTGGAAAAAGGAAAGAAAAAATGATTGATTGATTGATATATAATAGAAAAGAAAGTGATTTTGAAATTCCTTTTAAAAAAATTCAACCAAACATGTTTTTGGAATTTTTTTTCTTCAAAAATATATTTTGAGAGACAAACCAAACATATCCGAAAATTGTGATGGAGATTTAATGTGTGTTTTGTGGTTCAATATACAATGTTAATTTGTGCCGGAATATATCAGCAACAAAAGTATTGAGATAAAGGTTCTCTTTTTTCATGTTTTATTGGGCTTTGCTTTGCTGATATATGGCACAAGTTATTGTGTGGTGATTTGCAAAGAAGTTAAAGAATAGAGAAAAAACTTATAAAATAAAATAAAATAAAAGGAGATTGTTAGAATATTTTGCTTCCTTTACCTGCAAAACCCACCTTTAACTTCCTTAAGCTCATCAATCTGACCCACACATATGATAGATATGATATATATTCTGGGTTGCTTTGGAGTTGTCTGCAGAGTCATGTCGGCTTAGCTTGACCCACATTGCAAGCATTAATGTAAGGGTTTTAGATACCATTCCCTGTTGAAAGGGTTCTTCTAAAATTATTTGAAGGGGTACTGATTACCCACGCCCCTATCCCAACCAAGTCCATTGAATTTAAGCACAAGAAACTAATTTGCCTTCCCGGATAGTATTATAAACAACTTTTTCGTTGGTTCTCTAGAATATTTTTCAATTTTAAAGAGGCTGAAACTTAAAGAAAGCTATGCCTTCTAGGGAATATCTTCTAGGCCTGGGTTTGTCTTATCTTCTTATCTCTATCTCTCTCTCTCTGAAGTCTTTATATAACCAACGATCCAATTGCCAATGGCTAGCCAACCAGAGAGAGTATTCTCCTCTTTGATTTCAGCTATCGCATACTGTTTCGATCATCGTGGACACACCCACCACAAAAGCATCAAACATACCCACCACAACATGCCCAAGGGTCGACCCCTTTCTTTGCAGGTTGGCTTTCACATCCTATGTAGTTTTGTTTTGTTTTTTTTGCATACTAAGGTTATAATATATACATAAATATACGTTGTTTTTAAGTTAAGGTTAAAACATTTAATTACTATCGGCCTTCTGTAAAATATGAGCACGGAAATAAATTATGCAAACATGGAGTTGTTGGCTGTATTGAGGCTATGGCATGCGATAGTCTTACTATTTTGAGGTTGAAATGAAAATGATGTTTTATATATGCCACCTGTCTAAACATACAATCCATCTTAACCATGCCAAGTGTCAACCTAAGGAAAACAAAGAGATGCTAAAAGTAGAACACATTTTTAGATAGTAATCAATACATAACTAGAATTAGTTTTCAGGATTGTAAATTGTGGTTTGACAATAACATTCAATTAGTGTATTACAGTCAGCATCTAAAAAAAAAAAAAAATTAGTGTATTACAGTGTTCACGCACGGCGTAAATTTGGACGGTTCAATATTTTTAAATAAAATTACGAGTAAAACTTCTAGATACCTGATATTTTTTGTTTTGGAACCCATATAAAAAAAAAGGATGGATTTTCCTAGACAAGTTGCCAAAAAAAAAAAATCAGATCACAACTAAGATCATATTTCGAATCAGATCTGTTGGTCCACAACAAAAATCAGATCATAAATATTTCGAACTAAGGTCATAAAAATCAGATCACAACTAAGATCATAATTCGAATCAGATCTGTTGGTTCACAACAAAAATCAGATCTGTTGGTCCACAAAAAATCAGAGATGAGAGATCAGGGAGAGAGAGAGAGAGAGAGAGAGACGCTTACCTGTGTGTGAGTCGATCGATGCAGAGATGCAAAACCAGAGAGTGAGTGTGAGACTGATGAGATGAGAGAGTGAGGAAGACAGATCAGATCAGATCAGAGATATATATATATATCTGATATATATATATATAAAATAAAAAAAATCAACGATCGGGAGAGAGAGAGACAGAGATTGAGGGAGTTTACCTGTGAAGTAGTTGATCGGCTGTGCGATGATTATCGGAGCGATGAGATGAGAAAGAGAGTGATCGGTGCAGAAAGTTTCCATGTTGAATGATCGGCTGCCAGAAACGAGAGAGTGAGAAAGAGAGACTGTGAGATGGTGAGTGAGTGATGGTGAGACTGAGAGAGAGCGAGAGAGAGAGAGTGAGGGAGCCGATTATAGATTAGGGTTTTTTTTTCTTTTGTTTTGTTTGTTATAGGTGAGTGAGATGGTGAGCGAGAGATGGACGGTTAGATTTGAAAGAGGAAAAAAAAATTGAATTTTTTTCTTTTTGATTTTTTTATGAAATTTTATTTTTTTGAATTTTATTTTTTCTAATTTTCATTACAAATGAATATTTAAATAATAAAAGGATTTTTTTTTTCGCAACGGAGGATGTCATTGCTAAAAAAAATTATTTTTTATTAAAATAATTTTTTTATAGTTAATGAATTTTTATTTTTATTTTTATTTTTTCATTTAGTAAGGTTAAAAATTTATTTGTTTCATATTTATTTTAATGAATATAAAATTATTATTATTTTTTTATTTGGTAGAAGTAGGGATAATATTTTCCATTAAAATAAAGTTAATTTTTTGTGGCCAATGAGAGAAAGAGATATAGAGAGAGAGACA